CTGAGATCAACCGGAAGTTAAGGTCGCTGTCTCTATGGGCAAAGATTACCTGGTCGGAGAAAAATTTTTGTGCCCTAATGTAATGGGCAAAAATTGTCAACAACCATCCCGTCCATAACTTAAATTGCGGCGAGACGACGACGTCAATAATGTCTAGGCGGAGGTCGCAGTGGTCGAGACTCCGACACGGGCCAACAAACAAACGGGATGTGGGAGGGCATGCATTCGAAAATTAGATATATTTTAGGGCCTCATTTGCAATTTCAATAACTTTTGTTATATTACAATTTAACCCGTAGGTCAAATATGTAATTTAGAAAAATATAATAAAATATTATATTTTTTATTTTTTATATACGTATACATATATAAAATTTGAAACAGTTTCAACTAAAAATGATCAAAAAAATATATTAAACATTACAATAATAAATATAGTGTTATAATATAAATAGTAAATATTTCAAATATTTAGGTTAATTATTTACGTTATAATATATTTAGGTTATTTTGGTTATAATATAAATAGTAATTATTTATAATATTTAGGTTATAATATAAATAGTAATTTAATATAATTCTAAGCAGTGCACTTTATATATCAATACAGTGCACTTATAAAACGACACTTTGCACTTTATAAAACGTCACAATGTACTTTATCAAATATATATTGTTATACATTATTTTTTTATCAAATATTATTTTTTTATATATTTTTCTTTGAATATATTGTGATATTCAGTCGAAAATAAAGAAAAGGTTATTAACATATAAAATATATTTTTATAATAAATTACAAACCATATGAGGGGTTTAGGGTAAATCCGGTAACTAATTGGTTAAATAGATTAATTCAATACAATTATAGGTAATGCACTTTATATAGCAATATGTTGCACTTTATAAGACAATATTTTGCACTTTGTAAAAAAACAAGTTGCACTTTATCACAGCATTCCACTATTAACGTCGATAACTTCGGTCATAACTCCGCACAACATAAAGTTTATACATCAAGACGTTGCACTTTTAATACATTGCACTTTATAAAGTAAAAAATTGCACTTTATCACGACTATAAGAACACACGAATAGAGAATGAAACCAATTGAACCCATTTTTTTTCTACCAAAAATAATATTAAAATAATTAATAAAATCATTAGCATATTAAAAATAATTTTAATATAGTTAAAAATCATTTAGATAACTTAGAATAACTCGGTTAACGAAACCGAATAAACCAATTAATTCTGTTCATTGTCAATTTGATTGGGATAAAAGATTGGTTGGTTCAAATTGCACATTACATATTGACACCGTGCAATAAATTGTTGAACTAATTGCACCTTAATAACTGCTATATTGCACTGTATATTTTTTTTACATATACAATATTAGCTTCAAAAAATATTTGTATTAGTAATAAATAAATATTTATAATATAAGTAATATAAATATTTATTTATATTGTAAATATTTATTTATTAATTCAATATTTTTATTTATTGTTTATTGTTTTTATATTTAAATCTATTTATTAATTCAATATTTTTATTTATTGTTTATTGTTTTTATATTAATTTAAATATTTTATATCATTTGTATTTACTATTTTTATTTATTTTAATATATATGTATAAAAAGATTATAATAATATAATACGTTTTTTTAAATTATACATTCAACCCAAGGACTCAATTGAGATATTAATAAAATTCATAAATTTACTAACTAGGTCCCTCATACCTATCTAATTTTAAAACATCAACCATCCTCCATAATTCAGACATCCGTTCAGGCCCATTTCCGTTGCCACTGTCGGAACTTGAAGTCGGTTGCCGTCGCCGAGGACATTCTCTTTCTCCAGGTCGGCAGCAGAGATCGGTATGGAGCTGGAACATGGTGTCGGCCGGAGAAGTCAAGGAGACTAGCGGCGGAGGTTGACGAGGCAGTGTACGATGAAGAAGGTGACGACGGAGAGGTCGACGGTGGCGAACGACGGTTGGAGATCTGGAGAGCGCGACGGCCAGAGACAATCCGCCGGCAGAGTAGAAGAGGAAAATTCGCCGGCAGACCGAACACGACGGGCGGCGGAATCGGGAATGGCGTGGCGGCGCTGGGTGAGGTCGGGGTGACCGGGCGGTGGCCGTGGGCTGTGGTGCCGCCGTCTGTACGTGTGTGTGTGTGTGTGTATGTGTGTGTGTGTGTGCAGATTGCAGATCTGATCGAGGGTGATGAAAGAGGTTGATGAGAGAGAAAATTGTGGTTAATTAATGTGTGGGTCCCACATAATATTGTATACGTGTATTGACCAACTTACCCTTAGTTATTTGTCAAATGTCCATATTGACCACACTATGATCAAATAATTACCAGGTTGCCATTAATGATTGACCATAATTTGACTTCATCATAACCATTAATATGATTAATCTCATGGTCCAGATTTATTCTCATTTCTTTCACTATGTATCATTCTCATATGATCATTTCTCTCTCTCTATATATATATGTCTTTGTAACATGAGGGAGTTTTGCTAGAAATTATATTTTATATATGTGTATACTAGATTGTGTTACATGATTCACTCATTTCATTTATATTGACTTATTTTTAACAAAAAAATAAAATAATATATTATAGTATACATATTTGTAAATTTCCCTAAAAAAAAGCATTAACTATATAATTATTTTATTCGAAAAAAGATTCTAAATTATCTCATTTCTTAAAAAAAATATGTACCTTTACGGGAATTAAATCTTTAAAAATAAGTAGCAGATTTTATATACATTCCTGAAATTATTCACATATATATATGTGTGTGTGTATATATATATAAAGATTTGTATTTACTTGAAATAAAAACTAAAATTCCGCCTAAAAATTTTAAAATTTCTAAACTTGGTAAATTATTTTAAAAATAATAAAAAAAATGTCGCATCTAGAAATTTGTTAATCAAGTTTTATGGTATAAATTTTTTGACAAAATTAATCAATTCGATTTTTGTATAAAATGTGCGATTTTATTTTAGGTATCTAATTGTTTTTTTTGGGTAGGAAATGTGTTGTTCTTAATAAAGTTCCGATTTTATAGAATAAAGTGGACGATTTTATTATGGTATGAAATGTCCGAATTTAGACGTTATGAATTTATTTTGGTACGGATATAACTGTATATTGAAATTTTGAAAACAAAGTAAGTGGTATGAATTCTAATAGCTATGAGTATAAAAGTCAAATTTTAGGTTAATTTGTTATAAAATCAAGGTAATAAGATTCTCAAATTTTAGCACTTTCTCATAATAACTTGCCATAAGATATTAATGATAATTCGACAAATTGGTGTATTCATCTTGAAAATCAGAAAGATTTTTGAACAAATATTGGTTAATAGATTTTAAAATTTGTAATTTATTTCTAGATAATTAGCTAATAAATTTTGAACCATAAGGTAACTGAAAACAAATCTAAAAATTGTGAGATATATATTATATATATATATATAATAAATTTTGAACCATAAGGTAACCGAAAACAAATCTAAAAATTGTGAGATATACATTATATATATATATATA